TATTTCTGTGGCCAGAAAGGTTGTGTGTCTTATCTATGGCATTCCCACTACTGCTCCCCGCTTGCCAGTAAGCGTGGCTCCCCCCTAACTATCTAGCTCTGCTGCTGCTGCTGCTGCTGCTGCTGCTGCTGCTGCGGCTACGCTGCTGTTCCGAGGGTGCTGCTGCAGTCCCTCAATGCTGCTGGCTGCTGCAGCCAGCAGCTGCTGCAGGCAGCAAGCAGCTGCAGCAGCTGCTGCAGCTGCCGCATCCCGCAGCAGCAGCAGCCGCAGCGCCGCGGGCCCCTGGTGCAGCCGCCGCTGCAGCAGCACCGCAGCACCGCAGCGAGCAGCAGCTGCAGCAGCTGCAGCAGCAGCAGCAGCAGCAGCAGAAAAGAAGGAAAAGGGCTCAAAAGTAAGGAAAAAAGGGGTCAAAAGAAAGGAAAAAAGAACTCGAAGAGAAGGAAAGAAAGGAGCCAAGAAGGAGGAAAGAAAGGAGTCCAGAAGAAGCAAAGAAGGAGTCAAAAAGAAAAGAAAATAAAATGAAGACATAAAGCACCTTGTCTCGCCACTGCTCCGAAGTGGCCAAAGAGAAAGAAGCCATGCGGTCGCCGCTGGGCAGCTGCCGCACTTCGGGCTCCAAGCCCACGCGGCCAATGAGGGTCACTCTGTTGACGGAGCGTTCGGCCTGAAAGAACAAAAAAGAAGTCCATTTGAAGGCAATTTCGAAACAAATTCTGCAACGGGGCCCCACTGGGGGCCCCCAGGGGCCCCCGGGGGCCCCCAGGCCCGGCCTGGCGCGAGAAATGAAGGCCGGGGGGCAGCTGGAAGCAGCAAACGAAAGAAAGCTGAAAGTTGAATTCGCTGGGGGGCTCTGGGGGCCCCCGGGAGGGCAGCAGCTGCCGGCTCGCACAGTTCAGCTGCAGCAGCAGCCTTGCAGGGGGAACAACAACAGCAGCAGCAGCAGCAGCAGCAACTGCAGCAGCAGCAGCAGCTGCAGAAACAGCAGCAACCGGCAGAAACGCTGCACAGTGAAGCTCACCAGCAGTATGGGGCCCCCATTTGCCCCCCCGGCGTCTCCCTCTGCCCTCAGCGGCGCAGCAGAGGCCCTTTTTGTTCTAAGAGGAACTCGCCCGGGGGCGCTGAGGCCGCGGCCGCCGTCAGACCCCAGCAGTCTGCTGCAGCCGGGGCGCAGGGGGGCCCCGTCTCGAGCTGCTGCCGCGCCAAGAGGCCCTTTCCAGCTGCTGCTGAGTTGGGGGGAGACAGAGAAAGCATTGGAGAAGAGCTGAGCCGCCGGCAGCGCGAGGATCAGCCCGAACACACACGCGAACACAGCCGCGGGCCCACAGGCCCCACCGCGCCTCGGCATAGTGCAGCGGGCAGCTCGAGCCCGTAGAAACACGCAGAGGAATTAAAAACTGCTTTTAATGCTCAGGTAAGGGGGTTAATCAAGCCGCAAACAGAGGAAGCCCGAGAACGAGCACGCATCGATGCTCTGCCGCAGCCGCCTATGCACTCCAGGGGATACTCTGTTGGAGCCTAAAGAATAACTTGAAAGGCTCAAAATCTCGATTGTTTCGCTTCTAAAGCCCTTCCCGCATAAAGATGATTAAACGAAGAGAGGCTGCGCGCTCGCCTGCCGCCGCCGAGATGTCTTCCTTGTACACGCAGAACACCCCTGATCTCGCCTGAAAACTGTGAATTGTCCGGCGAAACTTCTGGAAAACGAGCACTAAATATTCGGATTATTATTTTTATATGCAGTTTAGCCGAAACTGGAGAAAAGACGCCCTGAAAGAAGGGCTTTCCTCTTATCCCCCATCGCCTCTTCCGAAGGAGCCTGATGTCTTGCAAATCATGTTTGTCGCTACACACAAGTCTTTCTCACTTTCTCTCTGCATTTTTGGTGCCCAATTTGAGTCGATTTGGCTTCTTTTGTCCCACGGTTTCGTCTCTTTTCCTTCCGCAGAAGATGCTTGGTGGCTCCATGCCTGCAGGTGTTGCTAGCAGCTTTTGTGGTTGTGTCTCTGCTGATCTTTGCAGCTTCTCCTCCGCTCTTATTTGCTTCACCTGTGACCTTTTAGGAAGTCTTCTGTGTTCCGCCATTTTGGCTTTCGCTTCCCGGTAGTGGAGCAGCATTCCGACGTTGGCGAGCAGCAGCAGGGGCCACTGCACAGTTCGGTAGGGAGGTTCGTTTGTGTGGATGTACTCTAAGGGGAGGAATTTATCTTTTGGAGTTTCCCTAACTAGGGCTATTATTAAATATTGATAAAGAAGCTAATTAGGGCTATTAATTAGTGATGATAAGGAGGCAAAGTGAATGCAGCGAAGTCCATGTGGCGCAAAGAACGAGAATGAAAGATCTGTATATTGTGATCACGAAAGTGGCTCATTTGCTCCCAGCCTGGGGAGCTGATTCCTAGGAATAGAGATATTTGTTCATTTAAAATCTCTCTAAGAGGCAGCAGCAGAAGCAGCAGCAGCTGTTGCTGCTGCTGCTACTGCTGCTGCTGCTGCTGCTGCTGCTGCTGCTGCTGCTGACAGAAGGCTTCTGCTGCCGCAGTGCCCGAAAGACACAACGCGGGCCCCAAGAAGGCGCTGTGCAGGCGCAGCAGCCACAGCAGCAAACCGCAGCAGCAATTTGGCCTCTGGGCTGCAGCAGCACTTGGGAGCTGCTGCTGCTGCGCAGCCTTTGCCCCTTTTGCTGCAGCTCGAGGGCTTGAAGTTGTCTTTGCTGCTGCTGAAGCAGCGCTGCTGCAGCTGGAGTTACCCTGGGGAGTTTCTACTGCCTTTCTGTGGCTGCTAAACTTCCTTTTTCGGGTTTAAGGCCTTCAAGGCGGCTAAACCGGGCGGTTCATCACTGGTCAAATCTGCTGCTGCTGCTGCTGCTGCTGCTGCTGCTGACCGCTGCTTCCTTAACTCTCCATCGGGCTTGTAGAGCCACTGGGAACCCCTGCTGAGATCTCTGAAGTTCCAAAAGCTATTTTTCTTTTCATTTGTGTTTCTGCAGCTAGCTGTTTGCTGCCTGCTGCTGCTGGCTGGCACTACTGTGCTTGAGGGTTTCTGGAGTTCACTTGCTACCTGCTATTTGCTGTTCTGCTGCTTTCCCTTTTTTCGGCATTAAGACAAACAAGCAGCAGCAAAAGCCGCAGCAGCAGCAGCAGCGGCTCGCCAAAACAGCTCTGCAGACACTGAAAAGACTTGACGATCAGCTGCAGCAGCAGCATATTGATGCGACAATGCAGCAGCAGCAGCAGCAAATCGCGCGCAGTAGCCGCTGTGCACAGCTTGCCTCTTTCTGCTGCCTTTTACGCGCACAAACTGCAGAAGGCAAACATGAACTCAGAGCAAATTCACTTGTGCTGCTGCTAGAACAGCAGATCGCCGAGTTTCCGCGGAATCTTCAGAACCATTTACGAAAATGGCTGCGCGAGCAGCAAAAGAAGAGAAGAGAAATAAGCATGTGAACACATTGGACAGCAGCAAGTGAACTGTGTTGTTTGCAGCATCCGGACTGGCAAGCAGCCCAGTAGGGTCCTGCGGAGCACAATAACTGGAGGGGTCTTTGGGGAATCTTAGCGCGGAATTACGCTGAAATATAATAATTAAAATGGGAGATAATTAATTTAATTGCAGTTCGATGGAACGGCGAGGAGGGAACAACAAACGGAAACTTGAACGATCAGTTCACGCAGTCGTCGGCCCACAGTGGCTGGCTGCCGTTGTTTCCAGCGGCGACAAACAAACAAACGACTTTGTTTTTTATTTAAATTTTGGCAACTGTCTTAATTTATCAATTTCTGTCACTTCGCAAATATTTGGAGAACGTTTGCGAGTTTTTCTTGCCAACGGGGCGCGCTACAAGATCCTCGACGGGTTACGATGTTGTACGTCATTGAAAATGTTGAGGAGGAGATAGAAGTGAGCAATTAATACCCCTCACATCCGACGCAACAGCATACTAGCTTGTTTCAGAGTTCAATTGCGGCATTTGGGGCTCATTATATTCGTATTCCGAGAAATTTGAACAGTGAAAATGTGGGGAAGCTGCTCTGCGGCGCAGTAGAGGTCCGCAGCAGCCCACACGGCCTCGCCTCTCGCCCCAGCGACGAGCGCCCTTTGCACTGCTCCTGTGGGGCTCGGGACTTTAAGCTTTGCAGGAGAAAGCTGCTCTTTTTGTCTTTTTCCTTCAGCAGTGGTGTACCTTAGAGTACAAACACATCAGCGAGACTGTGGGCCCTTCCCGGGCCATTTTCACGAGCGTTCCCGCGAGGTGACTGCAGCAAATTGCTTTCCTCTCCTTCACTGGCTGCGCCTTTGTGTGCTGCTACGGGCGTGGCTTGCCGCTGCCTCTGTCTGCCCTCCGCAGGCAACTCGAGGACCTCCAGGCGCAGCTCCGGGCGCGGGTGCTGCCGGGTAAGCAGCCAGCAGTTTCTTTCTTGTTCAATAAAAGAACAAATAATTTACTTTGGGCTATTTAGTGGGGGCTGCGGGGCTTCTGGGGGCTGCGTGGGCGGCGCTGCTGCTGCTCCGGGGCCCCGCGTTCACCCGCCGGCCCGCCTTCGTCTTCTTTTCTTTCTCTTTTCTCTCAGACTCAGCAGACACTCTCGAGGAACTCAATTGGGACAGAGTTCTTCTGCTGGATGTCAGTGCGCAGCGGCGCAGCGAAAAGTTGCACTTCTGCACGCAGCCGCGCGGCGATCGCAGCAGCTTTCCAATTTCTTGAACACGGGGGCGAACATGGCAAAACTTGCACTTATTTCGATTTAATTTGCAATTATATCTCATAATATTATAAATTTAAATCCAATTAATTGAATTTTTCCTTTCTCGCAGATGGACGCGGACCAAGAGCTCACAGTCGCCGACGCCGACCGCTTCGACGCCGTGCTGGTTGGAGGCATCTTAGGTCAGCCCTCTTCAGCTTCCCAAGGCATCAGCAGCAGCAGCAGCAGCAGCAGCAGCAGCAGCAGCGGGAAGCAGCAAGCAAAGGCTAAGAACAGCTGCTGCGGCTGCTGCAGCATTGGCTGCAGCACCTGCTGCAGCAGCCGTTGCAGCTCGTTGCCGGGGCCAGCTGCAGTAGCAGCCGTTGCAGCCCCGCTGCCGCAGCAGCCCCTACAGCAGCTTCTGGATCCCGCTGCTGCTGCAGCAGCTGCTGCAGCAGCAGCTGCTGCAGCAGCTGCTGCTGCAGCCAGGCCTACGGCGCTGTTTGCTGCTGCTGCGCAGGCAATGTGCCTTCTGACGACAGAACTGCTGAAGTCCGGAAGCTGCGGCTGTCTCACGCGAGGCATTTGGGGCCTTTGCAGATGACCACCAACACGGCTGTCTTGGTCTCGAAGATCATTTTGGAGGGCAAGTTCCTTTACAACCTGCTGCTGCTGCTGCTGCTGCTGTTGCTGCTGGTGCTGCTGCTGCTGCAGCAGACTCTCTGCTGCTGGGGCAGGCAGCAGCAGCAGCGGGCAGCCCGCGTCCCGCTGCTGCTGCTTCGCTGCTGCTTTGCTGCTGCTTTGCTGCTGCTTTGCTGCTGTTTTGCTGCTGCCTTGCTGCTGTTTTGCTGCTGCTTTGCTGCTGCAGTGCCCTGGGGCTCGCGTTTGCTTCTTCTGTTGCTGCCAGCAACGCAGTGTAGATTCAAAGTGATGCAGAAATTCGCATTTTGCATTATTTTTGCATTATTAAATGATTTTTAAATGTTTTTTGCAATTTTAAATGTTTTTTTGAAGTTTTTTGCACCATTAAATGCATTTTGGAGGCTGTTTGCATCACTAAATGCCTTTCAAAAGACCTTTTGCATTGCTAAATGCCTTTAAAAAGACTTTTCGTTATTAAATGTCTTTAAAGGTACTTTGGCTGAAAATTCGCCTTTTTGCAGACAAAGTTTCCCTCAAAGACATCCCAATGGTGGACGAGCCCGAAATCCCCGCAGTGAGAAAACCCGTTTGCAAAAAGACAAACGAAAATGCAGCAAATAACAAAAAAAAAACCAAAAATAACAAAAAGAAAAGAAATAAATAAATAAAAATGATAAAAATAACAAACAAAAGTGCAAATATAAACCCAAATGTGCGCCACTGCGTCCGCCTCTGCACTATGCAATTATTTGAATTTATTTTTCTGCATTTATTTTTCAAGTTTTCTTTTTCTTTTTTTTTCTTCTTTTCCGGCTTTCCGCAGGGCCCCAACTCGAAGGAGTCGCTGGTGCTGCCTTTTCGCTACGTCGCCAAAAGTTATTTGACGAAAAGTGAAAGTGACAAAAGTGAGCCAAGCAGCTTTCTGTCGAGGTGTACAGACAGCTGGCGAGGCGGCCTCAGTGCATGCGCTGCATTTCTTTCCTTCTTTTCTTTTCTTTTCTTTTCTTTTCTTTTCTTTTCTTTTCTTTTCTTTTCTTTTCTTTTCTTTTCTACTCTCAGACACCCCTATTTTGCCCGAAGGCTTGCTGCCTTTCCTTATGGAAAGCGCCAATTCCCCGCTGCTCTAGCGGCAGCAGCAGCAGCAGCAGCAGCAGCAGCAGGAGACCTGCTTTAGCAGCAGCAGCAGCAGCAGAAGAGCGCCCGAGCAGCAGCAAGGAGTGCAGCAAATTTCATATGGATATGATGATTTGAATGACCCATAGTTCACGCAGTGCCCCCTGCAGCAGACTGCAAAGGGCTTTGCTGCAGCAGCAGCAGCAGCAGCAGCAGCAGCAGCACCGCCCCGCCAAAGGAGAAGCTGCGCAGCCGGGCGGGGCTGCTGCTGCCTGCTGCAGCAGCAGCTGAGGGGCGGCGAAGCTCCAGCTGCTCCAGTATTTGCAAATTGAAATGCCCAGCAGCAGCAGCAGCAGCTGCTGCTGCTGCAGCTAGCGAGCCAGGGAGCTGCTGCTTCCACCAAGTCCTTTTGCAAATTCCAAGTTTTGTTTCCGCCTTAAAAGCATTTTGAAAGATCTGGTGGCCGCAGCAGCCCGAAAGAGCTTCGCCGCTGCTGCCAGCAGCTGTCACTCCAGCACGGGGTACCTGCCAGCTGCAGCAGCAGCAGCAGCAGCAGCAGCAGCAGCAGCAGCGGGGCCCCGCGGAGCGAGGAATTAGCTGCTGCACTTCCCCAAGTGCGAAAAGACTCACCTGCAGCGCCGCGCAGCAGCGCTGCTGCTGCAGCAAAGGCCGCGGGGCCCTGGGGGCCCTGGGGGGCCCCCCAGAAGGCTGCAGCAGCGCAGCGGACTTTGCACAACTTTTTCAACATTTCTTTTTGTGGCGAAGTCATTGCCCGCCAGTGCTGCGGCTTGCGGCAGACCCCTGCAGCCGCGGCGTTGGGGTGTACGTACACTCCAGAGCCCCGCCCATAGACTCACCGCTGTACTTCGGGCCCGGCGCGCACCAGCCTGAGAAGTCACTTTTATTGTTGAAGACACTTTTATGCCAAAGTCACTTTTATTGAGGAAGTCACTTTTATGCCAAAGTCACTTTTATTGAGGAAGTCTTTTATTTCAAAGTCACTTTTATTTCAAAGTCACTTTTATTTTAAAGTCACTTTTATTTCAAAGTCACTTTTATGGCAAAGTCACTTTTATTGTTGAAGACACTTTTAATGGCAAAGACCTTTTGCAGACTTGGACTCGTGCAGCCAAGTCAGCTGCATGCAAAACAAACAACTGCATGCAAAGCAAACAAATGCATGCAAAACAAACAAATGCATGCAAAACAAACAACTCAAACAAATGCATGCAAAGCAAACAAATGCATGCAAAATAAATAACTCAAACAGCTGCATGCAAAGCAAAGACTGCATGCAAAACACTCACTTGCATGCAAAGCAAAGACTGCATGCAAAACACTCACTTGCATGCAAGACAAAGACTGCATGCAAGTAGGCCTTTGGGGGCTCACCTGAGTTGGAGCCGACTGGCTGCCACTCCTGGGGGCACTCTGAACAGTCTTCAGGGGCTTGGCCTGCAGCACAAAAAGAAATGAGTCCGCGCTGCTGCTGCTGCTGCTGCCGCTGCTGCTGCTGCTGCTGCTGCTGCTGCTGCTGCTGCTGCTGCTGCTGCTGCAGTTGGGAGCTGGCGACGCACCGAGGCAGGGCCAGCGGAGGCCGCAGAGCTGCGCGGCGTCTGGGGGCGTTGAGGTGTACGTACAGCTGAGTGTAGCAGCAGCAAACCTTTTCTTTCCTCTGCAGCCACAAAGTCAAAATGTCTTCTTTTCGGGCAGAACTCGGAGGCCCCGTAGCCTGCGGGTTTGCTGCTGCTGCTGCTCCGTCTTAGCCGCATTTTCGAATTGCAAACTCACCCTCGGGAGCTTCGCAAAGCGCAGAGTCCATCAGGTTTCGCCAGCCCAGCGGGCAGGGGGCTGCGAGGAAGTCTTGAGTGCCTGCAGGGGGGAAGTTCTCGAGAAAAAAGCTTTTAAATGGATAAAAAGAACTCCTTTTTAATAATTTTTAATAATATTTAATTATTGTTTTTTAAATCCGCTTTTAAATCCTCAAAAAGAGCTCCATTTCGCTCTTTTCCGCTCCAGCCGGACCAGGTGGACATACACCCGGAGCTGCGCACTGCATGCCACTGGGCTGTCCATACACCCGAAAAGCCGCTTTCTCCGCGCGCAATTAAATTCGGACTTCCACAAAAACAAAAAGACAAAAAGATGAAAAAATAAACAACTCGGAGACAGCTGCTGCTCCACAAGGCCCCCCTCTGAGGCCTACAGGATTGCTGCGTGAAGTCCGACAGGCAGGGCCACTCGAGGCCCCAGGCCTTCGAAAGAGCCTCTCGGCCTTCGAGGCCCATTTCCTTCAACTCCCCAGAGTCCCGGTAGCCCCCCGTGTACCCCTGAGGCACCCACCTCGTCCAGCAGCAGCAGCAGCAGCAGCAGCAGCAGCAGCAGCAGCAGCAGCAGCAGCAGCAGCAGCAGCGGTGATTGGCTGGAGTTGAAGGTTTTTGCTGCAGAAACGGCTTACCTGGGGGGGCTGGCAAGTGCCCGAGGAGGCCTCGAAGCGCCACGAGGAAGGGCAAGTGTGCGAAAAGTCTTTTTCTGTTTTTTATTTTTTTTTTTATTTTTGAAATTAATTTCAAGGAAGCAGCAGCAGCCCACCGCAGGGCTCGTCCCGGCAGGGCCACTCCACTTGGCCTGGGGCGCGGGGCAGCAAAAAAAGAAATAAAATAAAATAAATAAAATGAAATAAAATCAAATATTAAATAAAGTGGAAACTGCCTTTCGAAGGCTTGGGTGGACGTACAGTTGGCAGAGAAGTCCAACTTCTGCTCCTCCGTGAATCCAGAAAGGTTCTGAAGAATTTCATTTTTAAATTTCATTTTTATTTTTGAATTTAATTTTCTTTTTTAAATCCGCAAACGCACTTGGGAGGGCTCGCACTGCCCCAGGTAAGAGCTGTACATACACTCGGGCTCTTGCAAAAAAAAAAAAAAGAAATGGAAGTTGAGGGTCACTTGGGGGCGACGCAGACTCCGGTGTATATCCAGTGCACTGAGATTGGCAGTAATAATTCAAAGATGAAAAAAATAAAAAATAAAAAAAAAAAACTTTTCGGAATTGCAAAATTCGCACAAGGGCATTCCGCCGCGAAGTTCCTCCCGCCCAGCGGTCCACAGCGGTCTCCCCGACATGACCAGTGGACCTTGCACTCTGCAGTTGGGAAAAAGAATTAAATAAAAGAATTAAATAAGTTTGAAAACTGAAAACTCTTTTGAAAAGAATTAATAAATCTGAAAACTTCAAACTCCGCAAACTCCCAAAGGCACCTTCCTCGACGCGGCGTTTGCTGTCGCTGGAGGCGCCCGCCTCCACGCGCTGTACAGACACCAGAAAGGGCACTCGAAGTTGAAATTCTTTTCCTCTTCTCCATTTTTATTTTATTTTATTTTATTTTATTTTTTATTTTTTATTTTTTATTTTACCATCAAGTGGGGACAGCCCCCGGAGTAGTCCTTCGGGGCCGCGCAGTTTGAACTGTCCTGGGCTTTCCAGCCCGCGGGGCACTGCGGGGAGTCTGGGGCCGCGAAATTAAAATAAATAAATAAATAAACAAACAAACAAACAAACAAACAAACAAATAAATAAATAAATAAATAAATAAATAAATAAAGAGATAAATAAATAAATAAATAAATAAATAAATAAATGAATAAATAAATAAATGAATAAATCCGCGGCTCGAGAGGAAAGCTGAGGCCCACAGTCGCGGTCGCAGGTGTCTTCGGGCTGCAGCAAAAAAGCAATAAGTGAAGTTTGCTGCTGCTGCTGCTGCTGCTGCTGCAGCGCAGCAAAGCGGAAAAGAAAGCAAATTTGCTGCTGCAGCAAAAGCAACTCAGAAGCAAAGACAAGGGCCAACTGCAGCAGCTCACGGGGGCGGGCGCTGCGGCCTGGGCCCGTTTGGCCTGCGGGCTTTGCTGAAGTCTGAAAAAACAAAAGTGCGGAGAGACTCTGAGGGGTCACCGCCGCGTCCTGCAGCCCCGCGGAGGTGTCCATACACCGCAGCGCCCCAACAAGTCCAACAAACCTTCAAGGCCCAAGGAAGCTTCAGATTTAAAAGTGGAAGACTCAAACTTGGCAGCTCCGCAGCACTGAGTCCGCGGCGCCTGAGGCTGCTCAGCAGCGCCCCCAGCTGCGAGCCGCTGCGGCTGACGCCCTGGGAGGGGTCGACTGGAAAAGAAATTAAAATTAAAATTAAAATTTAAATTTAAATTTAAATTAAAATTAAAAAAAAATTCAAAAAACTTACACACGGGGAAAGCTGCTGCGGCCACTGGCGGCGAAGCTGGCAGCGGCGCTGCAGCCGGCGGGACGGCGGGGAAGGGGAGCTGGCCTTGGGCCACACTTGGCAGTGCAGCAGCAGCAAACTGTCCAGCTGGCACTGCAGCAGCAGCAGCAGCAGCAGCTGCTGCTGCTGCTGCTGCTGCTGCTGCTGCGGGCCTCTGCGCTGCTGCTGGGGAGCTGGGGGGAGGCGGAAAGGAAATGAGTCAAAGGGGAAAACCTGGAGCGGCTTGGGGGGGCAGCTGGGGCGGCGGGCGGCCCAAGAGAGTGCCGTCCTTCATCTGCAAAGTGCCGTAGTGCAAGTTGGGCTCGAAGGTCGCGGCCAGCGGCGCTGAAGGGGCCTTCGGGAGGACAGCCGCGCGGACTCCAACGTCTGAAGAAGTTGGAAAAGACCAAATTAGCCCGGGAGAGGCTAAGTGGACGGGCCGGCCCAGCGGGTCCAGCTGCAGCACGCCCGACGGCAGCGCCACGCGCACTGCGGCTGCGCACGGACTCCGCAGGGAAAGCGGCGGGAAAGCCAGCTCCGGCCCCGCCAAAAGCACAAATTCAACTAATAAAAACAATTTCATGCTGAGTATTTTCTTTTTAAGCGGCTTCGTTCGTTGAAATCTTCTGTGGGAAGCGCCGCGCGGGAAGGCACTACTCGCCGCTGCAGAGGTGGACGTACACCTCAACGCCCGCTGAAGAAGCCGAAGATCCACTGCTGCTAAAGGGCTCCCTAAACTCCGATTTCTTCATTAATTCTTTTGACTAAAATCCAATTTATGCTTCGACTTTTTCGCTGCTTGTGGGTTTCTTTGAGGGAACTACTTTGGCGTTTCAAGAGACATCGGCCGACGGCCAACAGAAGCTGAAGGCGTCTTGGATCGCTCGGCTAATCCAACTGTTGGAAGCAAATTTTCGAGTTAAAAAATCTGAAATTGGGGGAAATTTATATATTTTTGGGAATTAATGTGAATTAATGTTTCTAATTTCTCGCTGATGATGAGGAAACGCCAATATCTCGGGCGGCGAGTGGTGGTCGGTGGTTGGACTCCGGGTCTCGGCTCAGCCTGCCGTGCAGCTGCAGAAGGCCCTTAGCCACAAATTGTTATTTCTTTAATAACAATTTAATAACAATATTTGTTTGTTTTTGAAGAAATAAGAAGCAGAAGAAAGCTCGTGGCTGCCCGTCTCAGCTCGAATGCACCGGGCCAGCGCACGAGGCTGGTTTGCAAGTCCCGGAAGCTGCGCCGACGTCTCTGCAATCATCTCGCGAGTTATTGGACTTTTAATTTGCATTTTTTGACTCAAAAAGTCCAAAAAAGTCCAAAAAAGTCCAAAAAATTCAAAAAAAAATCAAAAAAAATTCAAAAAATTTATTTTTTTTGCAAAGTTTCGCCGCGATGGCTGCAGAGAACTTTCGCCAGCTGGACGCAGCGGACTTCCCGGAGAGCATCGACGAGTATGGGCGCGAAGATGCCAAGCGAGAAGAACTAATTAAAAAAAACAGACAAATAAATGAATAAATAAATAAATAAATAAATAAATAAATAAATAAATAAATAAATAAATAAACAAATAAATAAATAAATAAAAATAACAATGAATAAATAAATAAATGAATAAATGAAAATAAAAAGAATTAAAAAATTTGGCCAGTTGGTTCGTTTGCAAGAAGTAGAAAGTGTTCAAACCGGTCGAAATCGAATTTAAAATAACTGCAAATAAGAAAAAAATAAAAATAAAAACTTCAATTTATCAATTGATCAATTAGTTAATTAATTAATTAATTAATTAAGTAATTAATTA